TCTTCACCAGAATCAATTAAGCATTCATCCCTTGCAATATCACCATCTACACATGGCCAAGCTCTCCATTAGAAGTCATGAGAGCCCAAGGTACCTTCAGTGCTTCTCAAAAAAGTTTTAATTTCTTTTAAAATCAGAAGAAATAACAAGCTTTGTATCTCAGAAAATATTTAAATAAGAATAATATACTCTTTTTTACACCAATGTAGTCATGCAATATAATTTTAATTTTTAATTAATTAAGTAATTCATTTTGGTGAAGGATAGGTCCTACAAGGCAAAAATTAGAACTAAACCCTGTAACCACATGTGCCAAGAATACATCTGGTATCGGGAAGGGGATGAAAGTTCTGTTTTCAGAAAAACATCCAATAATCCATTAATCACAGAGGCGTGAAACGTTTTCAAGGACTTATAGATAAAGTTGGGAGTTGGTCGGGCTGTTGGGGGAGGCATGTGATGGGTGTGCTGATTGGAAGGAACCACAATCCTACATGTTTTCTGGATATGACCCTCATTTTCTCTCTCACAAGCCGTCTGCTCCAGCTAATTAGCAAGTCAAAAGATATAGAAACAATTCTAGACCTCAGCACAATCAAATTAGAGGAGTTATTTGAGGATACCATTTCCACACAGTGTAATCATACTCTCTTTGTTTTGGTCAAATGAGTGAAAATTATCTTTCAAACCCAACTCCCTCTCCTCTACCCAACCAGCTCTGTGGATGGTGGCATTTCATATCTGTTTTTATCAGTTTTACATGGGATCTTTCCTATGAAGACAGGAACGCACAATCTACAATTAAACAATACCCGTCAAACTTTCTATACAGCAAGGACCTTTTAAAAAATACATTAGGGGCTACCCTGGTGGCACAGTGGTTGAGAGTCTGCCTGCCGATGCAGGGGACATGGGTTCGTGTCCTGGTCCGGGAAGATCCCACATGCCGTGGAGCGGCTGGGCCCATGAACCATGGCCGCTGAGCCTGCGCGTCTGGAGCCTCTGCTCTGCAACGGGAGAGGCCACAGCAGTGAGAGGGCCGTGTACCGCCAAAAAAAACCCCCAAAAACATTGACTTTTAAGATGATTCAGCACTGAGAGCCATTAGAGCTCCATCTAAATCAAGACTTGAAAAGTTTATTAAAATTGGATTTTTAACCTGATCCCAATTTCCTCTGCTTATAAAGAATCCCACTGGACTCCTTAATACTCATGCTATTAACCTGAAAGCGTCAAATGGCCATTAAGGGAGGAAAGGCTGAGGCTGCGCAGGGTAGCCTTACAGATAAAATCAGGTTGAGCCCAGGCAGGTAGAGTGACCGTGGGTCCTGGAGGTGCTCTGAGGAAGCAAGCTCTCTCTTTCTCTCTCTCTCCAACTCCCCTTCTCCTGACCTCTCTCTTCCATCACATATTTGGGGGAAAGTAAACAACCAAAAATACCAAAAACAAACATAAGCAAACTATTCAAGTACAGAGAGCATGGGCTAGGAGTCTAAGTTTTACTGGAAGGGTAGCTGCCTTGGATAAATCACTCCCTCCTCTGGTGCCCTCATTACTCCCACTCACTCATGTCATGACTTTAAACTTCTGTGCCTTTTTTCTTTTTTTTTTTGTAAAATGCGGACATCATGGTTTCTAAGGTCGGTGAAAAAACAAATGGTGAGGTTCATATCATTCACTTTGTACAGAACCTGGCACAAAAGCCTTGGATGAGTCTCAGCTGGGGGTATTCCTGATTCTTGATCCAACACACAGGCCAGTTACTTCCACTTCCATTTCTTTCTTGCAGCCTTTATCTTCCGCAGGACACAGTCTGAAACTTAACTGATGCCAGTGAGTCCCAGTAAAAATGGGTTCTGTCAGTCTTGTTTCTCCTTGAGATAAGATTTTCTGCTCCCTTAGGGCAGTGGCGATGTCTTACTTTTCCATCTCTTCCTGAGTACCTGGCATAGTAGTAAACACATACCTACTGGGTGCTCTATAAAGACTTTGGTATCTTAGAATATAAGCAGCTGAGAGATCACCTGATAACACCCTCTCATTTTCTAGTTGATGACACTGAGTAAGAAGGTCTTAGGCCACCCATCTGAGAGTGACACCCACTTTTCTAGTTGACTGTTACTGTGTCTCCTATGACCATCCATTCTTACACTGATAGCTTTGAAATGGAAAAACGGAACCACGTCTGACCTAAACCCTGACTCCTTCAGGGAAGTTCAGTTTACAATCTTTTTTGAGAGTATACTATATTTCAGACACCATGCAAGGTTCTGGAAGAGATAACTAAATTGTACTCCCCATGTTCAAAGCACTTCTAATCTAGTGGGGAAGACAGATCTCTAAGCAGATATTTTCAGTACAGTGTTTGTGTTTTTATAGCAGAGCTGAGTTCTGGTGATACATAAACACCTGGATAGGAAACCTAACTCAGGCCCAGAAGACATCAGGGAAGGCTGTTCAGGAGAAATGACAAATATTTTGGCAAAGACAAAAATGCTAAATAACAAAATAACCAATTAACTCTTTCTTAGTTATCTAAGCACAAGAATACTCACCATCGATCAGTGAATGTTGGCTAAAATCAAAAAATGAAAGAAGCTAAAATTCCAGTCCTCAAATTCTTGCCAGTTGCCAGATCTGCCTTGACTCACTTGGTGCAAGTGAAGCTTGTAACAGAGACTCAAGGCTGGGGCCTGAGGTTCTAGTTCCCTTTTTGGACTTGTAGTGGGGAACTAAGCAGATCAGTTAACCCGACTTTCGCTCACAGGGTGCAAATGGAATCACTGCCAGCCTCCCTTCACATCTTACAAACGAGTTGTGAAATTCGGACTATGGGCACAAAAGCACTTTGAACTCTTAAGGAAAAGTAATCATGCCAACTTAGTACATCAAAGCCGCTCCCTATTTTGAAGAACTCATGGTCTGTGCAGGGCTTAGCCTCTGGTAGGAGCTTAAGGACACCAGTAATTGGCAAGAGTATATCTTAAACTACCATTTGACCCACACAGCCTCATACGTGATTTTACATGGCTTCATAGAATAGGGGGAAAAAAGCACTTCTTTTAAAGCTAATGTAAATTTGAATGTTAAGGCTTTTCAAAGTGGGGCTTTAAACTGACTTCGCTTTTTCCAGTTTTACTGAGAAATAATTGACATACATCATTGTATAAGTTTGACATACATCACTGTGTAAGTTTAAGGCATACAGCCTGATGGTTTGATTTACATATACTGTGAAATGATTACGACAATAGGTCCAGCTAACATCCATTTTCTCATATACACACGATAAAAAGTAAGGAAAGAAGAAACAAATGAAAGAAAAAATTCACTTTGTGATGAGAACTCTTAGGATTTACTCTATTTGCAACTTTCCTATGTGCCATACAGCAGTGCTAACTATGGTCATTATGTTGTACATTATACCTCTTGGTACTTATTTATCTTAAAACTGGAAGTTTGTACTTTTTGACCACCTTCCTCCAATCCCAGACCCTAACCACAAGTCTGATTAAAGTGACTTTTTAAAACATACATATATATTTCTTTTTCTCTTTTTCTTTTCCTCTTTTTTTTTTTTCAACCTAAAATAGACATGTCAAAATTAGTCTGGCTCAAAGAAGTAACCAGGGTCATTAAAACCCCTAAAAGCTTATTTTCCAAAATAAGACTTGGCCTTGGCCTCCCAGATGCTACTAGCTTTATTAGACAGCAAGATAATGTTGGTCATTATCTTGTTTTCTGTTGTAAAAGGGCACTGGGTAACAGTACGTGAGAAAGGGGTCAAATTCCTACAGCATTAATTACTTAGATGGGAGAGTATTTTTAATCTAAGCAAAGTTAATGAAAGATTTTTTTTAACTTAAAGGACAAATTCGAATTCTTCCAAGTATTTATCTTCCAATATTTAAGATATGGAAGAGCTGCTGAAATTTCATCTAAAATAAATTACTTTGATGCTCACCTGGCATTTTTCTTTTTTTCTTTCCTTTTTTTTTTTTTTTTTAATTTTTTTTAACGTGTTTGCTGATCTGCCTTTGAGGGCGACTTGCTTTGGCTCGGCTAGGCAGGAAGCCCAGCTGCCCCAAGGAGATTCCAACTCCAGGCCCCTGGAAACCTTAAATCTGAAACTGAACTGAAGGCCGGTCTAGTTCTCACACAAAATTCCCCAGCCACAGGAACGCGGGGTAGCGGGTAGGGAGACCTGCTTAATTTCAGAGCTGACATTTGCAATCCTGGTGCGCTAGCAAAGTCAGAGCTGAACGCTCTGCGCTCCCCTGGTGAACCGGCATCCGCTCGCGGACGCGAAACCCAAGCTGGAGGGCGTGTTCATGGCGACACGGAGCGCTTGGGACCCGGCTGCTCGCGCTGATCCCGGCCCGGGGTGCCCAGCCACTGGCGTCCCGGTTGGGCTGCGGTGTGTGAGGATGGCTCCCCCTACTTCCTGGGCGGCGCAGGGAGCACCGACGCCTAAAGTGGGCACCTGCCGGGAAGGAAACCGGCCGTGCTGACGCACGTGGGAGGAGCGCAGGTACCGGGGACCTTGCAAGGCTGGAAAGTGGAGGAAGAGGTGGGCTCGGACCTACCTTTCCCTAGCAAGAGTAACGGAGTAGACAGGACTTCCCAGGTTTGCAGCGACGGCAGAGTCACCCAACCCACAACAGACCCCACTCTCCCGGTAGCGCTGGTCCCCTCCCCAAGCCCCCATCCCCACCCCCCAGCCTCCCGGGACTAAAACCCGAGGAACTGCGGTGTCAGGTGGGCGGGACTGACTCTTTCAATACCTATCGGCGGGAGTCCTCAGCCCAGCCCCAACGCCGCGAGCGCTAAGTAGCTAGCCGGTCACCGAGCGGACCCGACTCGGGGCAGCACCGGTGCGGGCCGGGCAGCAGTGGGCGCTCGCGATCCTCCTCTGCCCAACGCGCTCTCAGCGCCCGCCTCCTCCGTCCCCTCCTCCCTCTCCTGCCCCTCCTCCTGCCCCTCCCCTCCTCGGGTCTGATAACCTAGCCTCGCGCCTGCAAAGTCCCCGGCTCGCGGGCAGCCACGAACCTCCGCCACTGCCTGGTCTCAGTGGGTGCCTGCGCCCGGGCCTCACCCGCCTGCCCAGGTCGTCCCGAGGCTCGCTCTGCCGGCAGCCGGTGCTCCACGGCGCTGCCCATGGCCAAGCCCGAAAGCCGACTTCGGGCGCCAGACCTGCTGGAAGGTGGCGCGGCTCAGGTGAGTGACGAGCGCGCGAGGCGAGGGCCGTCAGTCTGGGGAGTGGCAAGACGAAGGGCCGTCTAGGTGCCCTGACCTGGCAGCCCGGACTTAGGGCAAGAGCAGAGCCCAAGGTGAGTTGAGGCTGGAGCAAGTGGAGTGTACATTGGGGGGGAAAAGGAAGGAGAGGCCAGAGGTTTTCCCATCCTCCTAACCTCCTGACTTGGTCCCTCAGCTGTGCAAGTCTTCAGGGACTGGTTTTTACAGGCAGGTATCCGGGCTTCTGACTTGGTGAATTGGATTCTTGTTTTTCCCTTACCCCCTAGCAGAGTCAGGAGGTTCGCTCCTGCCCGAGGCTTCTCTCTAGGACCGACCGTGAGGGGTAGCAGGAGCTCAAAGCTCAGCGGAGCCCGGGTACCACTCTGGCTGAGAACTTGGGGCGCGGATACAGTCAGCAAAAAGTCAGTCTGTTGAGGGAGCATCCAGGGTGGGGAAACCTTGGTCTGGTTTGCTTTTGGAGCGGAGCAGAGATGGGGCATTTCCCGAGGGGCGGGGATGCTCGGGAGGAGAAAGATCGAGGCGACAGACAGTAAGTACCTTTTTCCCCTAATGCCAATTATGCACGGTTCTGATTTTTCGTGTTACTTTCTATTTTTTTTTTTTTTTTCCTGCATCTGTTTCTATTTCGAGCACCTTGTGTGGTGACGGCAGATGAAGGTGAGGGGAGGAGGGGCGCCAACCAGCGGTGGGAACGCGTAGAACCCGGCTCAGAACCAGGGGCACACTCACGGAGCCTGGTGTCTCCAGGTGCGCCCTCTGAGCCAGGCGGCCGACTGCGCGCTGCTCGCCCTTCTGGCCCCTGCCTGTGCCGGGAGCCGGAGGGCCGCTTCCTGAGCCGGCAAAAAAAAAAAAAAAAAAAAAAAAAAAATGGGATGGAGAAGAGAGCGGGGACAAGAGCTGGGATGCAGGGCGCGGGGTGTGAGGTGTGTTCTGCTTCGCGGACGTTTGCCGGCTCCGTGAGTCTTCCGTCTCATCCCCTCCGCCGGGCGGGAGTCCACGCTTCCTCGCACTCCCGGGCCCCTCTCTCGGGAGGGGATTGCATCCCTCTTCCTCCGCCCTCCACTTTGCAGGACCAGTTGTATCCGTTCCTTGTCTTGCGCGAGTCTCGCTCCTCCCCCCAGCGTTGTCCGCCGGCTATTTTTATCCACTACTGGTACAGAGATGCTTTTGGGGGGATTCTAGGGAGGCGACTCCAAATCTACTGTCTTCTCGCTGCGCTCCCCGAAGCGGTCCCCTGCTAGCAGGGAGCAGCCAAGGGATGAGGATGGAGTGCGCCCACTTCTCCTTCTGCAGCCTGAGCTCTCGAAGCCCCGGCACCACCGGCTCGGCTGCTCCGCCCGCCGCTCGCTGCGGGAGCCGATCCCCGGAGAGTTCCTTAGGGCCCGGGCGCAGGTGCTTGGCCCCCCCCCCCCGCCGCTCGCTGCGGGAGCCGATCCCCGGAGAGTTCCTTAGGGCCCGGGCGCAGGTGCTTGACCGACTTTAGTGGCCACAGCCCTTTTACACGCAGGATCCTTTGGGTCCTACACTGGCGTTCTCGCCTTGCTGCAAAATCCTACCTTATTTTGTTGAAATGTAATTACCAACTTCCACTCAAGTGTTAATTTCAGGAATTTCATGTTTAAAAAAAAAGGAAGGGGAGATAACCCAACTTCTGCCTCTCTGCATTTCTAAATGGGTTTCTAAAACCCAACACCCCTCCTTTGGCGTTCGGAATTACTGTTGCCTTCTGCTTTCTCAGTAACGATTGGGTGCGATTCGAATAAGCGTTACCCAGTGAAATCTCAGGAGATGGACGCTTCTGCTACAAATCCCCGCGTTATTCTCTGTGTTTCTAGTGCTTAGATTTTTTCCTTTTTTCCCTCCCATAGGATTGCACAAATAACATTGAAATGGACCATTGTGTTACATAAGGTTTCTCCAGCGCTAGGCAGGGAAAGATCAGCTTCTCAAGGAGCTTTTTAGGGCTTCAGTGGGTCCTTTCTAACTCTTTCAGCCGAGTTTGACTGGGATCAGCAACTTCGTGACTAAGCACTCTTAAGTCGAAGCAGTTAATTACGGAGGTAACATCCAGTGAGGATCCCTTATGGAGGCATCTTGAGCGGTGTTTCCGGGCTAGAGATCCAGGCTGAAGCTGCGGGCTGTTCAGGGCACCGTAGCTTTAAGATGGGAAGTTCTTTGCTTGGGAAACTGGTGAGAAAGTGCTACCTTGAACTTGCAAAGGGTATCAGGAAAAACCCCATGGTTCTTAGCTGTGTTGTGGTGTGCTTTGTGTGAAATTTCAAGTCCTCCACTTTGTAGATGTTCAGGAACCCTTGGACTCCACAATATAATTGGGGATGCACTTTTGTTGTGAAAAGAAGAAATCCTCTTACTGGAAAAGTCTGGAGTGCTCCTTGCAGGGAAACAGAAAGTGGAAGCTTTTCTTATCTTGAACTAAAATTTGATGGGGAATAGAAAGGGGCTAGGGAGGTGGACTGGCTGATGTAAAATTGCTTGATGGGTAAACAGTGCCTTTCCCAGAACAGGGCATCTACCCAGGGTGGCCCATACCCACAGGGAGTACAGAGTCATGTTCTCTCTATTGAGGCCAGTTTGGAGAGAGGGACAGTAAAAGGTAGTGATGTCCTGATGGAACTGAGCCTGTATTCAGGGTCACAGCTGAGAATCCAGGTTCCAGGGCATGCTTCTAAGCCAGGGTCCTTGTGTGAGAGACAGTCTTGGAGGAGTGAAGGCCTGTGTAAAGGAGTAAAGGAGTAAAGGCAACTTTGGGGAGTATCAACCTTCTAGCTGCTCTGTGGGAAATGCAGTAACTTTCCAGCTGGTGTTGGAAAAGATCTGGGTTTTTCCCCATCACTTTGATGGAAGTATCTTCCTTCAACCTCACTAATGACCCAGTGCTTCTTAGCAAGGCCAACATTTTCCAGTGGGGAATGGCAAGAGTGCTAGCTGAATTTGGAGCCAGCTTCTTGCCCCAGGACCTTAAGCAAATTATTTTTTACTCTCTGAGCCTCAGATTTTTCCTCTGCAAAATAGAGACTGAAAGATTAAAAGTGAGAAATGTATGTGAAGAGCATTTGGGCAGTTCTCAAACACCGGTGAAAAATGTACAAGGTTACTTAATTTGCTTTTCCTGCGAATTTCATTTGGTCTATTTTAATGCTAAATTTCATTATAGTTTGTGAATGTCTGTGTGAATTACATATGCTAAACATTAAATGAGGGAGAGGATTCCATATAATGGACCAGTATCTCCCTGTGATTATGCCACCTGAAATTCACCAGTATCAGGGCTCCTGGCTTTTGAGAACTATTAGTTTCTTGTTTGTAGAACCAGAGTTAAATTTCTGAGTGTTTTTTGGTTTTTTTAACTTAATGCATTTCGTATGTCTTCAGGAAATATATGTTTCAGGAAGGGCCCTTATATTGATTAACCAAAAAAGGAGGAACTTGCAGATGAGTGTATCAGTTGGGGGAAAGTGATACATGATCAGTTTCAGGAGATGACCTGGGTTTCCCTTGTCTACCTCTGTCATCAACATAAAGTGTCTCTCTATTGCATTTTGGTGTTCAAAATTTGTCCCCAGGACCTAGCTAAGTGGCTAATACATGCTCCATAAGTGTTTTTTTTTTTTTTTTTTTTTTTGTGGTGCGGGCCTCTCACTGTTGTGGCCTCTCCCGTTGCGGAGCAGAGGCTCTGGATGCACAGGCTCAGCGGCCATGGCTCACGAGCCCAGCCACTCCGCGGCATGGGGGAACTTCCCAGACCAGGGCACGAACCCGTGTCCCCTGCATCGGCAGGCGGACTCTCAACCACTGCGCCACCAGGGAAGCCCTGGATAAGTATTTTTGAAGTGAGTGAATGAACGATTGAACTGAATCTTCACAAGCAACCCCGTGCTGTACACAGGCAGATGGCATCATTTCTGTTTTAGAGATTTGGAATCTGCTGATTAGAAAAGTTAATTAATTTTCTGAGGGTACGGAGGATTCCAGATTGGAGTTCAGGAGAACTGAACAGGTCTGTCTGTTCTCATTCCATTCCTCTGTACTGCCTGTGTTGCCCTCTCTCTCCCATCACCACTTAAAATCTCCTCCTAATCCATAGTGGACTTGTGCATTTTGGAAGGTTCCCAGCAACCAAACACCCTTCTTATTCAGGGGGTACCACCCTCCCCTCATGGAGGGACTTTTCCATGGTGGGGTGGGGCTCTTTCTCTGTGTCCACATCTCCGGGCCTTGAACTGGGGCTCAGCTGGATAATCCCACCTGAGACTTGGAATCTCAAGGGACTAACTAAAGGACAAAAGGACAATTGAGCATTTATTTATGACCGTGGGTCATGAATCAAGTGGTGTCAGCAGCAGCCTCAGTGTCACAGGAGGTCCCAGGGATGCCATTCCTATGTCATTATCCTGACGGTCCCTGGTGCCAGGTTCCCTCCATTGCTTTTCATTTCCAAGCCTGGCTTTTCAGCTTCTCATTAATTCCTAGAGGTAACTCATAGTCTTCAAGTAAATTCTTTCTCTGTTTGATTTAGCCAGAATTGTAACCAGCTGATGCTCAGCCGTTCACAGTTTGTCTTCAGGCCTGCCTCTGGCATGAAGCATTCTCAGCTTCCTCTACCCACAGGGAATTAAGCTCATAGCTTTTTCAGGCCGTTGGAATAATATTTACTGGGCCATAGTTTGTCAGTTGTTATGTGATACCACCAGAGTTCTAGAAAAATGAATACATTATTCTTCCAAGAAATAGCGTAAACATAACGGAAATAGATCCCAGGGGACATCTTTTCTTTTCTTTCTTTCTTTCTTTTTTTTTTTTTTTTTCAAGTTACATGCTTTTTGGTAACTTTCCAGCAGGGGTCGCTCACTCAAATGCCTTCAGCAGCCAGGCAAGGAATAGCCTGAGCAAAACAGGCCTGGGAACAATCAGGGTAAGGGGGGTGGGGGGCTGCAGCTCTG